TCGATTAGGCTCTATTTTGTAATCATTGGAGAGTTTTTTGGTTGTAGGTGACTTACGATAGCGTAGTATACACTACATAGCTTCGACTGAGGAAGAATATTTTTCAGTTTCTTCAGTGAAGCAAGTCCCCCACAAAACTTGTTCTCGACATGCATTTCCCATTTCAGACTTTCATCAACCATTACTCCAAATGATTTGGTTTTTGAAACTAGTTTGATTTCAGAGTCATTCAACTTTAACCCATTCGGCATATTTACAGCTTTCGTTTTCCGAAGGTGGCATATAACAAAATACTCTGTCTTTGAGGGGTTAGGACTTATTTACTCTCATCCATTGAAAAAAGGTTAAGTAACTCCTCTTGCGCATCCGCTACTAGTTTCTCGATGTCATTCGATGCTATTGTCACATTAGTATCATCAGCATAGATATTTGTCACATTAGTATCATCAGCATAGATATTTGCCTTGGAAAATTTTAGGCTTCGTTCAAAATCATTTAGATACATTATGAATAGAAGGGGGCCTAAGGAAGATCCTTGGGGTATGTCGCATTGAACTTCTCTCGCCTTAGATATTTTACCGTAGAGGGAACAGTATTGCTGTCTTTTATCAAGGTAAGATTTGCACCAGTTTCCAGGGATCCTTTTGATGCCGTATGCTTTCAGTTTTTCAATCACGATTGTGTGATTGACCGTATCGAATTCTTTCCTAAAATCCAGAAAAATCGTCAGATTCAATTTTTTGCAGTCGATATTTTCATACCAAGAATCGGTGCTCCAATCAAGGATGTCAGAGTGGAGTATAGTTTTTGAAATGCAGATTGGTTTCTTGTGATCACCTCAAAGAGCTGGTCGTGAACTATTCTCTCCAAGATCCTCGAGAAAACTGAAATGACTGATAGAAGCCAATAATTATTAACATCTTTCTTAGCACCTGACTTGAAAATTGGAGTAACTCTGGCAATTTTCCAAATATCCGGGAAGACTCCATCCATGAGCGATGAGTTAAAAATCATTGTCAGAGGTTTTAATACCAGATCCCCTTCATCTTTATTGATAGGTGCTGCCCCCTTCAAATTTGCTCTAGATGAAGAAACAGAGACAAGATAAAAAGTGCCTAAAAATCTTTCCAACTAAGGCAAATGTTATGTGTTTTTCCGCCTCCCTCCCCTTCTCTACACTTAATGAAATGTTTTCATTTGATTAAAATAAATCAAAGAAATGTGTCAAAAAATATTCTTTCTGGCCCCTCTAGAATTCATTTGTCACAACGCCCCTGGAGCAAAGACAATTTGGTGAACTGCTAAGTCAAAATTTTTGTTTTGGGAAGGCCGTGAATTGCATGCCTCCTTGAAAGTAACTTTTGAAAGTAACTCCATGCCCTTGAAATAACTTCTGAAAACAGTCTAAACTAAACTATAATTGTTAAGGTCGAAAACGAGTCAAATGAATACAGCAATTCTCAGCTTCTCAGTTTGATAATTTTTATCAAGATGAGTTGTACAGTTTGTTGTTTATGAAGATGGGACGAACACTGTAAAATGCTTGTTGACTTGACCTAGGCCCTGCAGATTTTTGTATCGTTTAGTTTGGCTTGAACTGAGAGGAAATTTTCCTTCCTCATCTTCGGTATTGGTGAAAGCTTTTGGTAAAAATTAAGATTAAGTGAAAGCTTTATATCCACATTCTGAAAAGCCTAAACATAAAATTGAATGCGACAGAACTGCATTTCGTATTATTTATCTTGCGAAGAGTGAAGTATGAATTCGTGGCTTCACAAATAAGGAATACCTTTTCTGGTTTTCCAGTTCAATGCAGACGCTTGTAACTGACAAATTCATGAACGAAATCTAGCCTGTGCCCTAGTCCTCGAATGATGACACTATCAGGCTAGTAGTTCAATCTCATTAGCTAATGAAAGCAGTGGCCGAGCCACGGGGGGGAATAGGACTAGTCCCCCCCCCACTTTTCCAGAAAGTTGGTCCTTGAGATTCTTGAAAACCTGATGAGAAAACTTCAGGTGGGGGGGTATGTACGTTATCTAGATCGTCACATGTAAATGACATTTCTTGGGAGACAACAGGTGTTTCCTCCGGAAGAAAAAGTTTCAAACAGGGGGAAAGGGCGTGGTTCAAAAGGGCGTTGTCCCTGACACACCTTTTATCCCCCCCCCCACTTATCCCAGGCTGGAGCCGCCACTGAATGAAAGGGGACTGCAAGTTGTGGCTGGTGAGGCATTTAATCCTACACCAAATTTTCATCCTTATTATGGTTTCTGTGCAAAATTTTAATAGAAAAAGGAATATCTTTCATTTATGCATGTTTTTAAGAGTAAAAGTGCCATTTTAACTTTTCACTCATAATCACTACAGAAATTGGTTATCACTGCACCTTCTCTCAGCTAACCTGTAGCCAAGAAAAATTGCCACTAAACCTTAGTTTAAAGAGTCATGCTTATTGCTTTGTTGCAGGAGGCTAAATAGTTCGAGTGACCCGCCATTTTTTCGTTTATATGAAATCATTCTACAAATTCACAGTTCGAAGTTTCCTTTGCTTGGCAAGGCTGTCAAATTCGGCATAACGTATTCCTGTTAAGTCTAGATCAACCGTTTCCTGCTCTTTGAAAAAACCTTTCTAGGAAGAACGCTGGGCACGGCTTTTTCTCTAATCTCTTGTTATAACAAAGTTTCCTCTTCCTCAATGACAATCCATGTGCAATTCGAAACCTTTTCTTCAACAGTGCTAGTTGATGACATGGCCTGAAGATGACGTGTCAATAATGTTATCCATGGGTGCTGCCCCATTGTACAGTGCAGTAATGAAAGTCCATCCAATAATGGATAATCCCCATCTGTCTCAGGACTCAGCAAAGCTTATTGATTTCTTTCAGGTTTCATTCTTTAAAACTTCATTCTTTAATACTTCAAAACTATGAAAAGCTTCGACAAGGCAAAGAAACGTGCTAGGTTATCAGGATATCAATTGCATCGCCTGTCGCATCTGAGTGTACAAATTTGTTCAATGTAATTGCATATTAACTAAAGTATATTGTTAACTTTTGACTCTGCTTGCATTACATCTGCATGAAAGTAGTCTTTTGTTTTTATTGTTACACTTGGGGGCACGAATGGCGCTTTTTATTGACGATCAACAAAATTTGTATGGATCTTAATAAACTTCTTGCGAAGAGCGGAAGTGTGAGATTCCAGCCACAAGGAGGAGGCAGGGGCGTGAGGGGATGGCGTAAATGAGTAATCAAAGTCTCATTCACAAGGATGTGTACACATGCGTAAGAGACACTATGCGAAACATCTCGCCATTCTGAGATTCCCTCATAAAAGATACTGTGAAATTTTTTCAAAAGAGCAAGCACTTGTATCAAGACAAAAGATATATAGTGAAGGGAGACGCTTCTAGGGGGTATGGGATTGCTTCACCAGGAATTCTTCAAGAGGATGGTTGCTAAAATTGCTCTGGTGGCTATTTTGGTTGCTAAAATTGCTCTGGTGGCTAACTGCAGTGTCGGCCATTACTTCTGTTTCCTATTTTATATAATTTGAGCATAAGCATAAATGACATCTTTACACCATAATGCATAAAAATGAAAAGTCTTTTTCAAGAAAATGGAAAACGTTTAATTCATTAAATAAATTCGATCAACACTGACACAATGCTTCAAACAGATGCGCGTACCCGGTAGTGAATCTGTATGACATAGATATTGCTGTATGTTTGTTAGAGACCTCGCCCCAGGTCCCTAGGAAAAGGAACACGTGTCGTAAACAGTGGTTGGTAGGAGGAGGGCCATTTATGTTGTGAACCTTGTGTTTCACGCGTTAGATTTTGTGACAGAAAATTCTCCAGCTTTTGGTTTTATTATTTATAAGATACAAACTGATTAATATTACATTACTATACTGCACTCAAAATCTACGCCCTCTCCTCCTTCCTCCTCCTACCAACCACTCTTTACGACACGTGTTCATTTTCCTAGGGACCTGGGGCGAGGTCTCTAACAATGTTGCCCTGTTGCAATCACATTTTTAGGGACTTTCAGAAGATTTCCAACTTCTTCAGCCAAAGCCCACAAAGATGAGAAATTCTAAACGAAAATTTTTTAACACTCAAGCAGTCAGAGACTCAAACTTCTTCTACCTTACTGCATTCATAGACTTTACAATATGAAGTCTTGACATTATTGTTTCTATCATTGACAGTTTGTGATAATGGAGAGGCTGGACAATTACTTAAAATGTTTTTAATTGAGTCATCATTTGTGGGCCCCTAAGGCCAGGGACCCCCGGGTCAGTGATCCCCCTGACTCCCCCTCTCCTCAGCATTGAATACCATATTGCAAAATTTTCAATCTTAAACGAACGACTTATATGATACCTTAGCTGTGTTAACTTATCTATTAAATCAAGGAACTCTGTTGCAATCATGACTGGCAGCAGGAGTAGAACAATTGAATGCTTTTTAAGGGCCACAGCTTTCTGTTCAAGGATTTAAATTATTGTGAAGACACAATAGTATATAAATGTTAATATCCAGTGACCCAGGTCCCCACAGGATAGGAATAGTCTGTTTTTTGATTCTGCTCAACAGATTGGACAAAGATAAGTTAGTATTTCCCGCTTATAAAACATCATACCAACCCTAGCATTTAGGCGGATGAAAAATCAAATTTTTGGTTTTCCTCAAAAAATTTAAGCTACACGAGACGAATTTTTCGCTCGAGGCGAATTTTTCACGCGAAGCGAATTTTTCGCCATAAATTTTTTAGCTGCAAATTTTTCTCTCGAATTCAAAGTTCAATTTACACTGGCAGAAACTTTTATGCGCTGCGAATGTTACAATCTTGAATTTATCAAAATAGCAAGCAAAACCGCAAAAAGCGCTTCTGGATTAGAAAAATTTATCCAGAATGTCTCCAGAAGGGGGGAATTCCATGTTTCGGTAAGAGAAGTTTATGTTTACATTTATAGGATAACTTCTTCAAATACTTTCAAAGGTCGCAATCGAAGCTTGCAAGAGCATGCAAGATCCTGTTAGTGCATCTGCTTAAAACTGTTGCTGTTAAGCAGGCAATAAGCAGGCAACAATTCAGCAATTTGAAGACATTCTTGCCTATTTTTTTATTTCTGACAAATTGGTAGAACGATGAAACTTTCAAGCCAGTTTTCGTCAATTTGAAATTCAAATGTTTGAATAATAATATAATATGAATAAACTTACATGGATTGTGTACGAGAAACAGGAAATAAATTCTTACCAACCTATTTTATTGACGTTTTAAAGGCGAATTCGCGGCGAAATTTGCCTCGTGGAGATCAGCCAATGAAAATACTATAACCATTGTTATAGTCCGTCGAATAAGGATGGACATGTTATGTTATATCATATTGTAATTTTAAAACAATATGACGCATGTTGCTAATAATAGAACCTCATCACACCTTGGCAAATCGCACTTTGGATCCACGGTATCTGGTGTTTGACCAAGATGTATAGCTTCCCCCTAGGCAAATTTTTTCGTTTATCATTTTTCCGGGTATTCTGTGATCGAACTGAATGTATCCTTCGTTTGCATTGCGTCGTTTGTCAGGCATAGGTCAGCTGGTGCTTTGCGAAACGGGAACTCCCTGTCATACAGTGGACACATACAGTGGGCGTCATAAAAATCATTTATAAAGCGCGATGTATCTTAAATAAAAAGTCAATTTAATCACATTGGGCAGTTGAGGCAAGTCAATATACAGATTCTTCAAAGGTTATATGGTAACTATATTTCGTATCCGATACATTTGCATTACACAGTTTATCGTGCTCAGTCATTATGTTTCCGTGTTATTTAATGATTTAGTCATTATAAACAAATGAAATGATTACAAAGAAATTAGGGAATGGAGCAATTTTTTTTCACATTAATAATGTTTGCCTAGATACTTTGCCTAGATAGCATTCGGCAATGTGATGCAACCGGTGTACAATCTCATTTTACAATAGCAGTTTTATAAGATAATAATTGGTAAAAATTAAAAGCAAATAAGCAGCAAGGTGAGGCCAAGGTACTAAAAATAGTAAGAATGTAAAAACGTTGATTATAAGTTATCTTTCATATTTCAGAAATATCTTCTGCTAATGTTATTAAAACAATATCTGCATTATGCTCGTCTGGTGGTTCTCTGCAGTAGAATATTGTCTCATGTTTAATTTGCTACAACTTACACGGTATGTAAAAAGAAAGCAAATTAAGAACAGTCCAGGCCAATGTTCGGAAAATGGCAAGCGAACCTGAGTCTCAATTTCACGGTTCTTTTATAGAAGAGCGTACGTGCATTAAAGATTGGTTGGTTTTTCTAATCCTAAATGATCCTTGATTCTAACAGACCATTGTTTAGTAAAAAACCGTAGTCGAAATTGATTACTTGCCAAGAACGTGAAATGCGAAACTTGTCCAGACCACGACGACTTTTGTCTCTTCAAAGGTCAAAGTAAACACGCAAATCGATCTCGTTTAAAATCTGTTACTGCGAATTTTAATCAATAAATCTCTTTTGCGAAACTCAGATCGCAGTAGACAAGGAACTTAACAAATATCACAGAAGGTTGATTTTTTATCTCTTCTGCCAGACTGCAAAACCCCTTGCTTGCGTCCAAATCCTAGACCTAAAGAAATTGTTTTCTATCAAAATCAATTGGATGCATCCACAATCTCTCAACCATGGTTCTTACTTTTTACTCTCAAAAACATCTAACAGGGTTGGTAAGTCCCGACACCATGGTTCTTACTTGGCCTAAAACTGCATCAAAAATGTCTACCACGCAAGTAGATTAAGGCCCAAGAAGGACTCTAGAAAATTATCATTACGCCCAGTAGTTTTATTGTCTTGCATTTGACAAGACCGCGACACGACGACTGTATTCCAATTTCAGGAACACATTTAACAATAAAACATGAAGATAAGAATATCAGCATGAGAACTCTTCCACTGAAAACACAAGACTAAGGATCTTTGTAAATTTGAGGTATTATATTTCAAAATGTTATCGTTGAAATTTTCCAGAATATTTATGTTTCATATCCAACCCGATAGAGGTCAAGAAAATCAGTGGGCTACTTACGTTGATCGACGTTGCTAAAACGAGGAACAAGCGGAACAACCTAGTAACAAGCGGAACAACCCAGTAACAACCCAGGAACAAGCGGAACAACCCAGTAACAACCCAGGAACAAGCAGAACAACCCAGTAACAAGCGGAAATGTGAAGTTATTGTTTTGTAAATAACACATGGGGGCGTTTATAAGCCAACTCTCTAAAGTTCGTGTGGGCTAGCACGTGCACTATCAAGAGGCCGTCAAACACTTCCGTTATGTAATTTTTTGGCAATTCGCGGCCATTTTCCCTCCTTTTCACACAACCGTACATAGTTTGATGGATCAGAAAACCTGTCGTTGTGGTTTTTCACTCGAATCAAACACCGACATAGCAAGGCAAGGGCTGGTACACAAAAAGCCCAAATTGAGGGGTCGAAAATTGAGGTGGGGGATAATATTTAGAATATATTAATGGCAACCGAAGGGGCAAAAGGACCGGGGGGTGTGAGGGTGTCACACCTCCCCGATAGTATCTCATAGAGAAATTTCAGGTAAAATCTCAATAAACTAACAACAAATGTTGCCAAGTTTGTACGAGAAATAATCAGACAAGGCAAAAAATTGGAAATTCTTCTGTGAACTGAATCAAAACTCCATTTCTAGGCATAGATTTTTACTCATTACTTTTGATTGTACACTATTAATTGTCGCATTTTTTATGTTCAAAATACAGTCACACAAAAATGAAAAAAATAGAATGATATCTATAAACCTACATTTTCAGTAGAGATTCTTCCGAGTTTCTTGTGAGTTAATAACAATCTTAAAAAGTACGTCTATTGGGATGAAGATAGATTTTAAAAAATTAATAAACGAGGAAGAGGGCCTCTTCAGTTTTCAACTTCAGAGTAAGCCTTTATTTGATTTGCATTTAAACATCTCTATACGGCAATCTGGCACTAGACCCCCTTCCCCCCTTAGAAATTTTTTCTATGCCTGATTAATGCCTTCACGGAGGCCCTTAGACATAGGGGGTAAATTTATTGAAAATAGCAAAAGTATGCAAAAAAGACGATTGCAAGAAATGACTGGAAGAAATGTTCTAAAACGCATTTTGAGCTACCATAAAAGCTCTATTAAGCCCCCCTCTCTATTAAGTCCCCCCTTATCAAGCAAAAACTTTAAATAAGCCTCCCCTCTCTATTAAGCCCCCCCCCCTCTCTAGCCTTTGATGTCAAACACAGAAAACATACGCATTTAACCATTGTATTTTTCATGAAACTGAGTTGATATTAACGTTTGAAAAGTTGTTGTAGCAGTAACTATATTAACTTTTCTTGTTATATTAATGTTGTAATTACGTTAGAGGCCATCTTGGCCTAGATACCTTTTTAATAAAAAAAAGCAAGTAGCCTGTTTACTTCATTGTTGTTAATTTCAAATATTTATTGTTAATTTCTCTTACAACTTATAATTTGGATTAAAGAAGAAGTCAACTTTCCGCCTCAGTAAAATTATTTCTGGGCAAACCATCAGTTTCTCGTAGGTACATCAAAGTCATTTTCTCCCCAGGCGATTGAATGGCGCAGTATCGTGAACTAATGATGGCAAGGTGACAAACACGCAACCAATGTTTGGCGTTTTCATCATCATCATAAAAAAATTAATTTATCTAAATACACTTAGTTGAAGAGCCATTCTTACATCAGCTATTTACGTTAATCGAGTGCTTCTTCTTACAAACATAATAAGCAACAATTTGCAGCAGATAAAACAACACTAGCAACATAAAAAATGCGACAATTAAAAGTGTACAATCAAAAGTAATGAGTAAAAAATCTATGCCTAGAAATGGAGTTTCGATTCAGTTCACAGGAGAAGTTCCAATTTTTTGCCTTGTCTGATTATTTCTCGTACAAACTTGGCAACATTTGTTTATTGTTTATTGAGATTTTACCTGAAATTTCTCATTGAGATACTATCGGGGAGGTGTGACACCCCCACACCCCCCGGTCCTTTTGCCCCTTCGGTTGCCATTAATATATTCTAAATATTATCCCCCACCTCAATTTTCGACCCCTCCATTTGGGCTTTTTGT